TAAGTACTTAATTCGTTCCGGAGGTCCGTTCTTAACCTGAAACTGTTTTTAACATGAGATACCACTTTAGCTAATGGGGCCTCCTGCTGCCACCGCGCCGCCACCACACAATTTCTGTTCTCATCCTGAAGCAAAGTTCTTAACCTGAGGTACTATTTCTGGGTTAGCGGAGTCTGTAACCTGAAGCATCTGTAATCTGAAGCGTTTGTAACCCGAGGTACCACTGTAGTACAAAATACATGTATTGGACATAAGAAAAGTCTAGTTTCCAATTAAAATACATGTGTGCACTGAGTGGAAATGGATTGGGTGCTGAGACCCGGCCTGCAAGATTTGGGTTTTTTTTAATGGGAAAATGTGCTCACCCTTTACACACACACACAATCAGATTTCTAGCTATTAACCAGCATGTAGGCTGCTATTATTAGATGCAGAAATTGTGAAGTAAAAAGTGAATAAGGCAAGCCATATGCGTGTGGGTGCGTGTGCAAAACGCAGCAGAAGGAATAGAAAACAGAATTTCCGATGATCTCTACTAAAGGGTTTGCCAATACAATTCTTAAAGTGACAGCAGAGGCAATACTGCGTTGCCTAGCAGCATGAATCCTTAGATCTTTCACAAGGCTTTGCAGTAGTGTATGCTTCCTTCAAAAGGAAAACGAAAGTATATCTAGCCCAGCAGGTATTAAGTGCTCGGTATTCAAACTCCTGCCAGCTATGTACAATCCATAGATAAATCTATTGCTTTATGTAATCTGAACTGAATATATGTATTCATAAAGGACTATAAAAAAGGAAGTGTTATTGCCTGACCTACACAGACTCGTGAATTAAGATTCTTTCCAACTAGTTTTTTACCAGAGGGGTAAAAAAACAACCTAGGTAAATACTATGCCGAACCTGACTTGAATCTTTAAGAAAATAACTTTTATTGAGCCAACTATGTTAGAGAAGGTTTAGTAGGCTTTAAATTGCACAGAAGACGCCTTCAGGCAGAAAAGCATCTCAGCCAGAGGCGAACTTCAAGCTTGAGGTTCCCACAGTTTCCAGGGAATGAACTTGAGTGACCTTTCCTCTAGTACTCATGAAGATGGAGCATCTTCCATACAAAGCCTAAGTACTCCGCTTTTCATGGCCCATATTCTAACAAACTGACAGCAATAAGGTAGTTGTAAAAAAAGTCACTGACATCTTCATAGCAATTGCAATGAGCTGGCCTACATACCACCAGGCTCTGAAAGAATGATGAGAATCAGACAGCCTCTATTAGAGAGGGAAAGGGAATGGTTCTCACCTTTGTGGCTTTCTGAACTAATTAAGGGCACATTTACATAACTGCAGGACCCTTGGTTATTAATAGTAATTTTGAGGAACTGCCAGCAGGGAAAGAGACTCCCAAATACATCAAAAGGCAAAGTGAGCACTAAACATTGTTATCACTGGTTAAGTAATCACACAAGGAAGCTTTGAGACAATTCCCACAGTGAGGGTCAAGTCCCAGTTGTAACTTGGAGCAGCACACATGTACACAACTTCCTGCTGACAAAGCAATACCAGCTAAACACATACAATGGTACCTCGGGTTAAGAACTTAATTCGTTCTGGAGGTCTGTTCTTAACCTGAAACTGTTCTTAACCTGAAGCACCACTTTAGCTAATGGGGCCTCCCGCTGCTGCTGCGCTGCCGATGCACGATTTCTGTTCTCATCCTGAAGCAAAGTTCTTAACCCAAGGTACTATTTCTGGGTTAGCGGACTCTGTAACCTGAAGCATCTGTAACCTGAAGCGTCTGTAACCCGAGGTACCACTGTATCACACTCCATAATTTCCAAGAGAGTATAGAAGTGACCTAAGCAGGCCTAAGGGATGGTTAAGGATGCAAAGCTACTCAATTTATTTTTATATTGGACAAAGCCTCTTTCTGCAGATAGTTTCTACGGACACTACCTTCCCACTTTTCCATCTTTGGAACAAGCACACAGCCACCCAAAAGAAATGTTCGTTTCCTAGAGCAGTGGTTTCAAGCCTTTTTTTTTGTACGGCAACCCATAAGTCCAAATTTACTTTGTGCAGTAACCCATTGCTGTATTCTCACATGAATTTTGGACCACAGGTCTTCGGTGGCCATTGGTTTTGTGCATTTAAAATGCAAGTCTGCCTATTTTACAACCATTATGTGAGACATATACGCAACATACATAATTTGATGAAATATTTATAGGGCTTACAAAGATAATCATTGTTGTGCTCATGGAAGTGTAAAAACAACCAACACCTGATTGGTAAGTAATATAAATTTGGTGCTTGACCTCTGGAGGCACACTCCATTGTCTCGAGACAGACAGATTGCAACAACAACTTTATAAATTCATTCCACAAACGCAGTTACACAAGGCCTGTTAAAAATACTTGTACTTCATTATATCTTATGATTTTTTCATGATGAAGTCCACTTTGGCAGGTATCAATGGGATGACAGAGCTTGCATTTTGCCAAAGAGCAGGTGATTGCAGGGTTTATTGGTTGTCAGACACAGTCTCAGATCCTTCCCGAAACATAGCCTGCTTCTGCATTTCAGTCTTCATAGCAGTCATTGCTGAAAATCCTGCCTCCCAAAGGTATGGGCTACCAAATGGCAGCAGCACAGATACTACTTCTTCATCAACAAGTTCAGGCTACTCAATGGCAACATGAAACCAACATTCTGACAATTTTTGGAAATGCTGTTGTCTTTGAGGGTCCTGTCACATGATAGTTCAATGAGCCATTGTTCTTTCTGCACAAGTGGTGAGATCTGGTTGCAAATGGGCTTCACATACACTCAAACTTCTTTGTTTCTAAGCAAACTACAAATTACCCTTGACTATTAACGGGTTCTGAGATGGTTCACCAGAAAGTGCTCATACAGGGAGTTTTTTGAGTATTACAGCTTGCCTCTGATGCAAGCTCTATTAGCACTTTGTGGGAAACTGTCCCCAGAAGCATCACCAGCCAGCAGAGAACTGGCCAATGAGAATCACAGAATCATAAAACTGAAGAGCTGGAAGGGACCACAAGGGTCATCTAGTCCAAACCCCTGCAAGGCAGGAATCTTTCACCCAACCCGGGGATTAAGCAGTGCCATGCTCTACCAGAGTCTTTCAGACATGCGGTTACAAGCATCAACACAGCATTATAATAAGCCAATAAAACAGCTGTAAGAGGTACTCCTTCATGCCAGTTAAAGGCTGCAAGTGATATTTGGGATTTACTTATAAAGCCCGCAACCCATCTGCACTTCTGGGTCAAAACCCACAGGTTAGGAAACACTGTTCTAGACTATCAGCCTAAGAAGACCCACTTAGCCATGAAGTTCTCACTGAGTGACCCTCAGATGATCAAGTCACCCTCTCTCAGCCTAACCTAACAGGCTTGGTGTGAGGATAAAATGTATGCCATCATGAAATTGGCAGTGGAATGGGGTGGGAGAAAAAACCAGAAATGCAATCAATAAAGACCCAGAGCAATGACGAACTCTGCCACATCATTACCAAGGCAAACCAGTATATGGACAGCAAAGGAAACACAACAGAACTGGCTCCAAATACACAGATGACAAAATACAACAAACACTGTGCATCCAGAATGGATAGCAGCGTATCTGAAGCGTTCAGCTAATCAACTGAAGTTAATGGGATCGCTACTTACAAATAGATTTCCACCCAAACAAGGATGCACAGGGAACTGAGGGGGAAGATAAAGGATCCAGCTATCTGAAGAGCAGACAAGGAGGGTTGCTAGCATATCACACATGCAAATAAGAGAGAGGGTTAGTTTTGCAGGGGGGGTTGCGGGGGGGGGGAGAGTGTTATATTTTGTGGGCCTGAGGGAGATGGGGAGAAGGGGGCAGAATCCAGTTTTGGGGAAGCCAATGGAAAATGCAACTGCCTTCGCATGTGCAAGAGCAGAGCGAAACATAACCTTCAGGCAGGACTCAGAAAGATGCCTTATTAACACAGAGACGCCTGCTTCTTTAAAAAGATTTGCAAAATTCAAATGACACCTCTCATCATCGAATGCGCGTGTCTATTTTAATTTGCAATTCAGGTCAATTCCCCCCAAAAGGGTGGGGTGGGTGACGGGTGGAGGGGATAAAATGCTACACAGCTTAATATTTAAAATCAGAGCCACTGGATCTTGCCCACAGCAGAGGACACAGGATCTGGCGTGTTTGGGTTTCCCCCCCCCCGGGCTGCCCCCCCCCACCATAGAATCTTAATTACCAGGCTATTGGCTAGGATGCCGCAAAAAGGGGTCAAAAGAGGCACTGCGGGAGACTGGATGCTGGTCTGCTTTACTCCAAAGGAGTACAGGACCGGCGGCCACGAGTCATTTGCGTCCTGATCGGATAGGCACAGGAGCATATATGAAGGTGCGGAAGGCAACAACTGCCCACGAGGATTTCACGAGACCACCACGCTCAGAATAGCCATCGGGGGTGCGGATGGGTGAGCGCAGGGGTGCTAACTTGAATGAAATAGGGGGGAGGAAAGCCCCGCCCCGCATAATCCATCCATCACAAGACGTGGGGCAACCACACTATTTGAACAACAATGCCCATCAACTTGGGGGGGGCGCTCAAATTTTTTTTGGGGGGGTGAACGGACCTCGGCCCCTAGGAGTTGGGGTAGAAACAAAGCGGGGCATCGAGAACGGCACTTGACGGAGTTGCAAGCCCCTTCCAATAGAGGAGGCGTTTTGTCGAGGGCAGGCATTTTGTGGGAAACCGATCGCGGGGGGGAGCCACTCCGGATCTCTCTCCCTCCCTCTTCGGTAGGCCGAGGGATCCAGTCCGGGGGGATCCCACCGCAGGACCTGGCAACCGCCCCAGAGCTGAAGGTCGCGCTGGGAAGCGCGGGAGGCCCAGCCAAGCGCCGCAGTGGGGTTTTGCATGGAGGGCGCCCCATTCATTCTACCCTACGGGGGAAGAGGATCATGCACCGGGCGGGCGGGCAGCGCACCTGCTGGTAGTCGGCGTCCCTCGGGCGGAAGGCGCTGGAGACCGGCTGCAGGCGGAGGCTCAAGTGGGGCAGCCCGTGCAGCCACGACGCCCACCAGGGCGCCAGGTAGTCGGCCCGCGCCGCAGGCAACATCGCGACCCCGGGCCTGCCGGCTGCAGATGCTGCAGCTGCTCGCCGCCTCCCCGGACAGGCGCCCGCTCCTCCTGCCGCTGCTGCCGCTTCTCGTGCCGCGTCCGCTCTCCGCACGCCGATCGCGGCCCGGCCTCCTTCGCCGTCGCGGAGCGCGCTCGCCAAGCGCCGCCCCTTCTATTCTCCGCGATGGGGAGGCGGGGCAGGGCGGGGACGGGGCGGGGGGCGCAAGCCGGGCCATTCTGGGAGGGAGCGGACGCCCCCTGCGGGATCCGCCCGACTGGCGGGGGCGATGCTTGCAAGGAAGTTCCCAGCAGCACTCCGTCTTCCTTCTCTCCCTCCCGGCAAGAGATTTTTGGGGGTGTCAATCCTTATGTGGGGCGCATGGTCTCAGCAGGATTTATGCTATATGGGGGGGGGTGCAGGACACCCACCTGCCATCATCCTCTGTCTGACTCCGTCTAGCACATTAGGAATTTTTTTTGACCTCAAGTGCTGAGAAAAATCTGTCCGAATCTTTCTCCTTCTTTTTAAAAAAAGTATTTTTATTTATTTACTTGATTTTTTTGGGATGGGGGCAACTGTCCCCCTGGCTATGGTGGGGCGGGGTGTGCATCTCCGACTCTCATGCAAACATAATCCTGTGTTCTTCCTCTTAATGTCATCTCCAAGTGAGGGGAAGCGAAACATCTACAAGGGAGAGACTGCCCCAACTATGGAATATCCTCTCCCAAGAAAATACACCTGGCACAAACTTCATTGTCTTTTAGTCACTGGGCCATAGCTGTACCTATCTATCTATCTGTTAAGTTGTGTGTGGACATATCAGACAACACAGCGATTCTTCAAACAGCTCTTGTTCATTCACAGGCCAGAACAGAACTGAACTGAAGGGTTCAGCCAGCCTGCTTATATAGAGCTCCAGTACCACACAACTGAAACAACTTTCTGTAACTATCCAATCACTGAACATCACTTTCAATCCTTTATTTGCATATGTGGACCTGAGTGAAAACTATCTACAGTATCCCCCTGCTGGCCCAGGGTGAGAACTTCAGTACATAACACCATCTATCTATTTATCTATACAGTATCTATCTATCTATCTATCTATCTATCATCTATCTATCTATCATCTATCTATCTATCTATCTATCTATCTATCTATATCTTCACTCATTTTTCACACAGTCATTTCACTCAATCACTCAGACATTTCAAAAAATGTTTACTATATTAAATATTTCAAACTCTCCTACTGTCTATTGTGCTTTGTATTTCCTGCATGTACTGTTTATTCTTTATTTTTATAACCCTCCTTGGAAATCATTAGCAAAATGCAGCACACAAATGTTTTAAAGATAGTTCTCTCTTTAAAAACAAACAACCCCCCACACCTTTCCCACAAAGCCTTTGCCCTCAATCCAACTTGTTCAGCACACACCTTGCCTCAAGGAGTAACTGAAGAGGCATGTCAGCAGGGAGAAATGTGTGAGGGGAAGCTGGAAGATTCAGGCTAGGCAAGAGACTTCTTCACACAACAAAGCATGGATTTTGCCCTCACTAGATGTAGCGACAGCCACCAATTTGGATAGTTTTAATTAAAGATAGGACAAATTCATGGGAGGATGAGGCTATCAAACGCTACTAGCCATGACTAAAACTAACCAACTAAAACATTGGTCACTAGCAACATTGGTAGAAACCGTCCCAAGAAGAGAGACATTCAAGGTCCCAATGCCTGCATTTGAAACATGTCTTATGTCTCATGACCACAAATAGGAATTCTCTGTCGTTTCTCAGTTGGTAATGAGGAAGTTCTGAATTGGCCTAGGGATTGCTTAACTTACAGAACCTAACTGCTTCCTAACTTACAGAAAATCACTACTTGGACATACTACTGCCTGCTATGTCACAAATGCGCTAATTTGCAGTTTCTCTTCCCATTTAAAAAATAAATAAAGCATAAACCTCACAAAGTCAATCACTGGGTGCATTCTGCAGGGGACAGATCATGTACAGGAAGCATACACACACAGAATTTATTTTCAGAGAAACAATCAGTGCAAGATGGTAAAAGGGTGGGAGCCATCCTGGTCCCTGACTCTACACCAGGAACTGCTAATTCTCTACCCAGAAAGGGCTGTTGACTCCACCCTCCCCCCCCAAAAAAACCAACCCCTCCCCACAAAATCGAACCACATGCAACTCTTCATTCATGTGTTCACTGAATGGTAGTGTCTACATGACGGTTATCCCCACCTTTAGCCTTCTGTGCAGGACTTGAAACACTTGGGTGCGATTTAATGCATACTTTCATAGAAAACCTCTCCCTCACTGCTTATTAACCCAACCCTGACAGCCTCTGGATTATGGCCAGTATTACTTTGATAATACCATCAATATATGCATTAAAGTCTATATGGAAGTTGTAGTGCCTCAGTTGTCTACACACTTTCTTGTGGTGGGTGGGATATCCTGTGTTATAGAGAAGGATCAATAAACCTTATTTTTATAACTTATTTAAGGGAAGTAGAGAAGCAAGCCTTGTGTCCCAGACTGTTCATCAGACCCTCTCAGGCATGCCAAAGCATGCTGCCTTTTTGACTTTACTAGGTTAACTCAAGGAGCAGGAAGAAAGTGCATAGGGACAGCCATGTGGCAGAGTTGCTTTGTTTCATGCTTCCCATTCATGACCATGTCCATGCTTTCAGGAAGCAACAGATCAGCAGCAACATGGGAAGGGGTAGTGTTACCCATTACCAGAACTTGAGCTTTGTCAGTTCCATGGAAATCTGGCAGGGCCAATTATCCTCAAACATCAGTGTGACAGCAGTTTTTAAATATCTGAATGAGAGGCATGGAGAGATGGAGTTTGAGGAAATGACATAGATTAAACCCAGCTTCTGCAATGACACTGTATCTCCACCTCACTTCAAGGTCTCAGCATCAGCAGAAACAATGGATGGGGAAATCATACAAACCCCAAATAGAAGCTGTTATTTAAGGAATGCAGCAGTGCTAGCTAAGCTTATTTCAGCACCATTTTCTTCCCTGTAGAAATGCTCTTTCTGACATTTGGAGGAGGCTGCTGCGGAAGAGAAAGCAGCGTCTACCCCAGATCTCACTTAGTCCTTTGCCATATACAGCACTTACCTAATGATCTCAGATCATCTTGCCAGCCTTTGGAATTCTCTTGGGATTTAGCGAGACCTTGGGCTACATATTGTGAATCGACATTTTTATCAATGCAGTGCAGAAATGGGCAAGCCCCCTAGCAAATCAATAAGAAAAAAAGTTAATTAAATCAGATCTGAGCTGCTAGTCAAAGGAAAGGGAGAAGAGCCATTTTTCACTTTCTAGTGGCACAAATTCTTGGGCAGAGGGATACATGTTCTCTCTCTGAATCATTCTAGAACACAAAATGTCCATCACTGGGGAATACTGCCTGCAGAAAACCATCTTTAGTTACTCTTCTCACTGATTCTAGAGGGTAGCTGCATTAATCAACTGCAGAAAAACTAGTAAGACCATCCGGTTGATACCAGAAAAAGAACAAAACGAATTCTCAATTATTTGATTTTCTTGGAATGCCAACACAGAACATTTGCCTGGAGATACTAGTCCATAGGACGCGGGTGGCGCTGTGGTCTAAACCACAGAGCCTAGTGCTTGCCGATCAGAAGGTTGGCGGTTCGAATCCCCTCGATGGGGTGAGCTCCTGTTCAGTCCCAGCTCCCGTCCACCTAGCAGTTCGAAAGCATGTCAAAGTGTAAGTAGATAAATCCGGTGGGAAGGTAATCGGCGTTTCCGTGCACTGCTCTGGTTCACCAGAAGCAGCTTAGTCATGCTGGCCACATGACCCGGAAGCTGTATGCCGGCTCCCTCGGCCAGTAAAGCGAGATGAGCGCCACAACCCCAGAGTCGTCCGCAACTGGACCTAACGGTCAGGGGCCCCTTTACCTTTTACTAGCCCATAACAATATTGGTTTCTGTTTTTATATTTGTTAAAACACACTTGTGGAATGCAGTGCTCATCTATTCTATAAAGTGCAAAGGGAAAACTGAATATATGTACCTAGAGCACTTATGATGTTGGATGGTACTACAAGTTCTGCTGTTTTAGAAGTAAGCTGTGGAATCACACATTTTAGTTCACTTAAAAATCATAAGATTCAACTCCTTTTAAAATGTAAGACTTCAGTACATATAGTGATTGCACAGTTTAAGGCTTTGATGTTTTGTCTAACATGTGTGTGTTGTGTGTTTATAACATTTAATACAAATAAATGTTTTTGCCCCGATCCCAATAAAATGCTTCCTGTATTTTAACAACCATTTGCTTCTTCTAACATCATCTCAGACCCGGTTGCGGCCATACCTGATACTTCACCCAGTCTTAAGGAGGAAAAGCATTGCTTCACAACCTTGCCACATGCTTCCCCCTCCAACATCACAAAAAGAACTGCCTGTCTTAAGTGGGTCAGACCACTGGTCCATCAAGTTCAATATTATCTACACTTAGCAACAGCTCTCCAGGATTTCAGACAAAGGATGTCTCAACTCTACCTAGAGATGCTGGGAATTGAAGCTTGGGATTTTCAGCTTGCGAAAGAGGCACTCTGCCACTGAGTGATGGCCGCAGTTCCGCCCTTGTTTCTTTCCCCTAATGTTGTGACAATCTGTTCCATCTCTGCACACAGCTCACTTGAGGATTGAACTTTACCTGACATTTAAACACTTCCTTGAAACAAGCTGTATTTGTGAAAAAGCTCTTGAAAAACCTACATTTGGAGGAAAATATTGAGCAGTGGCTCAGCAGGAAATTAGCCAGACTACATAATAGCCCATCCGGCTTTGTAGCCTCTATGAATCACAGTAACCGTGAGCTGTATTTATAGCTTCCTACGCCTTTGGTTAATAGAGTGTATAAATCCCAAAGCTTTTTCAGCATGATGTCATGACCTCCAGCCTGATGCAATGAATCTTTCACACTCTCCCAACTCAAGGCTTCTTTATAGGGAATGGTAATTATCACACTGCCATTGAGATGGCCCTCTCGACAACTCCAGGATTGTGCTAAACGCAAGTGATATTTGCATGAATAAACAACAATCTTTCCCTACTTCGAAGACTAGGCATCAGATGTTTTCATG